CTTAATCTACCGCCAGTCCAGAAGACTAATGCTCCAAACCAGATCTGGAGACAGCCACAAATTCCATCCTCATCCCATGGTAGTGGTGGGACAGAGTTTACACAGTCCAGCCAAGTGGAAACTGGTCCTGCACTGCTGTACTGTCACCTCTTCTTGTTGCTATTGCTGCGCTGCCCATTCTTCTCCTTGGTTACATGGGCACCTCTGCTGATGTTAGCATAGGGAAACTGTGACAGATAGGATCTCCAGGAGCTCTGCAGTCTCCTGCAGAAATAGCATCAGTGACACAAAGCCAATCCATTCTCTTTTCCATGGGCTGATGAGTTCACAGAAAGCAGACTGGCAGCAGCAGACCATATGGACAGTATTCCTGTCTGCACTGGACCTAGGTCATGCTGTCTACACTGTCCAAAAGTGCAGGCCTGTTCCAGAGTTTGGACCAAACTCCAGATCATTCCCCAACTTCATGCAGCATAGAACTAAATAGGTTTATACAGGCCCCTTTACTCTACCATATAACCCAGATTATCAAAGCAGGTAGGCCTCCTGGTGCCACAGCGGGTTAAACCACAGAGCAGATGAACTTGCTGACCAAAAGGTTGGCAGTTCGAATCCAGGGATCAAGGTAAGCTCCCGCTATTGGGCCCAACTTCTGCCAACCTAGCAGTTTGAAAACATGCAAGTGTAAACCAATAAGTACCACTTCTTCGGGAAGGTAACGGTGCTCCATGCAGTCATGCTGGCCACATGACCTTCGAGGTGTCTACGGACAATGCTGGCTCTTCAGCTTAGAATTAAAGATGAGCACAAACCCCGGAGCTGGACACGACTAGACTTAATATCAGAGAAACCTTTATCTTTACTTTATAAAAGCAGGCAATCCACATTATTTGCTTTCAACTGGATTATATGAGTCTACACTGACAAATGATCCAGTTCAAAGCAGGTAATCTGGATTTTATATGGCAGTGTAGAAGGGGTCTGACAATCAAAGAGAGATTTTAAGTGGGTGCTATGTTGTTTGAAATGCACAATATAAGGTGATTTTCATTTTTAGTTGTCTCATGTAAATTGTTTTTGATGTGAATAAATCTAATACTTTGAATGTTTTAACTGCAATATTTTTATTTGAACGTATAAGCCACCTTGTTTTAACTGCAATGTTTTAACTGCAATATTTTTATTTGAACGTATAAGCCACCTTGAGTCCATGCTACACAGCTGTACTTTAGGAGTAAAGACAGCTCATAAATAAAGTTAACCACAGCAATAAGAACAATAAGAAGAAGAAGGTGCCCTGGCACAAGACTCTTTGTTGTGCCTTTCTAGAGAAAGCATAATTTCTGATAAGGAAGCTACCCGGAGAAAAACATCAATAGTTTTTGGCAAGGCACAACTGATATATATAGGCAGGTGGGCTTTTTGACACTTTCAATGGTCATAAAGTTGAGGGTACTCACCTCCTCAGTCTTCTATAGTTATTTTAGCATCTGTACAGCTGTGTAGCATGGTAAGGCAGTCTCAGTGTGTCATGCAATGATGCCAACTCCATATTCAGTTTGCAGATCTCCTATCTATTCAGTCATGCTTGGAATGTCCTATTCCTGCTGACAGGTCACTATGTCTACATTCAGGAAAATCCTCACCCATCAGGTACTGTGCTGGGATCAATCATAGAGTCATAGTAAGTTAGAAGAGACCACCAGGATCCTCTGTTTAAAAATCTCCCAAGAAGGAGACTCCACCATACACTTCCACTATTGAACAGCCTATACCAGTGGTTCCAACCTTTGGTTCTCTAGTTGTTTTGGACTCCAACTCCCAGAAATCTCAGCCATCTTACAAGCAGTTAGGAATTGTGGGAGCTGAAGTCCAAAACATCTAGAGGACCAACAGTTGGAAACCAGTGGAAGTTCTTCCTAATGTTTAGGTGCAATCCATTTCCTGCAGGTTGGATCCATTGCTCTATTTATATTGGTCACAGACCAGAAATACAAAAAATATAAACAAACAGAAAAATAACATTGTGTGTGTATTTACAACATACAGCATATTCTTGCAACATTTCCAACCCTGATCTTCCTTGAAGATCACAGTTCCTGTGATGAAGTGTTTGCTAAGCAGTATGCGTCCTCTATAATGCTACAAGCAACATATATATAATCCAAATATGTTGCCACCTGGGCATGTAGCTAGGCTCATTTATTATTTGGAGATCATGGTTATTCACTTGAAAGCTGTCGTTTATCTCTTTTAAAAGCTTGAGAAAATGGATCCCCTGTTATCTTGTGTCATTATACTGAAAATTCAAGGAGATAGCTCTTGTAGTTTTTTATGTTGTTTATAAAAACTTTGAAAATTCCCCAAAAATCCATGGATAAGTGAAACATTCTGAAACTTGATGGAACAACCGTGGTAAATGTGTTCTACCATTTTAGCAAGTTTCACCCCAATCGCTGTAAAACCAAGGGAGAAAGGGAACCCTTAATTTGTTACTTTCATTACTTTAGGAACACTTTAGAAATGAAAGTTTTGTAATAACTTTTGAAACACTTTTTATCAGGGTGGTTGTAGGTTTTTTGGGCTAGATATGGCCATTTCTACAAGCATGCTCTCTTGACGTTTTGCCTGCATCTATGGCAGGCATCCTCAGAGGTTGTGAGGTTATTTTTTTTATCGATCGCACATACCTTTTGGCTGGAGTTATACAGAAAAAATGTACCTCTTCCAACTTGCAAACCAATTCAAATTAAGAACACAAAACCTATCTTGTTTGTAACTTGAGGGATTGTCTGTTAAAAAAATAAATAAAGGTTTTCATAGCATATGTTGTATCCTATAAATTTCATTGTGAAAATTCATGCATATCTCTTAAAAGGGGTTGGTTAGGGTTCCCTTGATGTATGGTAAGAGCACTTTTCATTTGGATGGATCTTTGTCTTTACTCTTGTGTCTTGTTCTTGGTCTTGCAGCTCTTCTGATGTCTAAGGTGGAGTATCCATTGGCCTGTAGAGCCCAGTTTAGGTGGTTCAGTTCAACTTGGAGGAAGTGGGGTTCGCAGATTCTTTTTGCACGGTCTGCCAAGGCTTTAATGGTGCTTCTTTTTTGACTTGGGTGATGGTTGGAGTTTCTATGTAGGTATCTATCCATGTGTGTAGGTTTTCTGCCCAATTGTTGAGTGGGTTTGATAGCAGTACATGTGAAAAAGATCTTGGGAGTCTTCATGGACAACACGTTAAACATGAGCCAACAATGTCATGCGGTGGCTAAAAAAGCCAATGTGATTTTGGCCTGCATAAATAGGAGTCTAGTGTCTAGATCCAGGGAAGTCATGCTACCCCAATATTCCACCTTGGTCAGACCACATTTGGAATACTGTGTCCAGTTCTGGGCAACACAATTGAAGGGAGATGTTGACAAGCTGGAATGTGTCCAGAGGAGGGTGACTCAAATGTTCAAGAGTCTGGAGAACAAGCTCTATGAGGAGCAGCTTAAAGAGCTGGGCATGTTTTCCCTGCAGAAGGGAAGCTGAAAGAAGACATGATGAGAGCCATGGGTGATCGTATGATAGCTGGGTCCGGAAGCTCCGAGCCTTACGGAGATGCTGCAAAGGTGACTGCGAATAAGGGAAGGGGGGTGGAGTGAGAACGGGGAGAGCAAAGGAAGGATAGAAAGGAGGGGACACTTAGGGCAAGGTTTAGGGTTTGGGTTACAGTTAGGGTAAGGGTTAGGGGTTGCGTTTAGGGTACGGTTTAGGGTTAGGGTAAGGTTTGGGTAAGGATTAGGATAAGTGTTTGGGTAAGGGGTTAGGCTTAGGCTTACAGTACGGTTCAGGGATAGGGTAAGGGTTAGGGTTAGGGGTTACGTTTAGGATACGGTTTAGTGTTAGGGTGAGGTTTAGGGTTTGGGTAAGGATTAGGATAAGGGTTTGGTTAAGGGGTTAGGGTTGGGTAAGGGTTAGGGTTTGGGTAAGGAGTTAGGCTTAGGTTTACGGTATGGTTCAGGGTTAGGCCTGGTTAGGGTTAGGGGTTAGGGTGGAGCCCCCGGTGGCGCAGTGGGTTAAACCCCTGTGCCGGCAGGACTGAAGACCGACAGGTCGCAGGTTCGAATCCCGGGAGAGGCGGATGAGCTCCCTCTATCAGCTCCAGCTCCTCATGCGGGGACATGAGAGAAGCCCCCCACAAGGATGATAAAAACATCAAATCATCCAGGCGTCCCCTGGGCAATGTCCTTGCAGACGGCCAATTCTCTCAAACCAGAAGCGACTTGCGGTTTCTCAAGTCACTCCTGACACGACAAAAAAAAGGGGGGTTAGGGTTAGGGTACGGTTTAGGGTTAGGGTATGGTTTAAGGTATGGATTTGGGTAAGGGGTTAGGCTTATGGTACGGTTCAGGGTTAGTGTAAGGGTTAGGGTTTTACCATTAAAGAATTCTTATGTTCCTTCTATATTATCTGTCTCTAGCCTGGATTACATTCGCTAAGTCTCTCTTGTGCAAACAGTGCTCCCTCCCAAAGGAGTGAAGCGGCATCTCCGTAATGCTCGGAGCTTCCGGACCCAGCTATCATACTATTACCGAGCCATGTATTAATATGTGAAGGGAAGTCATAGGGAAGAGAGAGTAGGTTTGTTTCCTGCTGCCCTGGAAGCTAGGACTTGGAACAATAGCTTCAAACTACAGGAAAGGGGATTCCACCTAGGAAGAAATTCCTAACTGTGAGGAGCTGTTCAGCAGTGGAACTCTCTGCCCCGGGGTGTGGTGGAAGCTCCTTCTTATGAGGCTTTTAACAGAGGCTGGATGGCCATCTGTCGGGGGTTCTTTGAATGTGATTGTCCTACTTCTTAGCAGAGGGTTGGACTGGATGGCCCAGGAGGTCTCTTCCACCTCAGTGATCCTCTGAGTCTGTGATTCTCTTCTCCATCTGGGAAAGCGATTGAAGCGGAGAAGCCGGTTGCTACGCAGGAGGAGTCCACGAATGAGTCAGATCTGTGTTTGTAAAATGACTTTGGGAGGGGGCCGGGCTTAAGGTGGAGAAAGGGGACCCATGGAGGCGCCGCCACACCGCTCCTGAAGCCCACAAGGGAAGGATGCAGCACCGCCAGAGCCGCGTGGAGAGGATGGAGAGCCCCTGGCGCCTCCCCGGATGCGAGTGGGAGCAGCCCCAGAGCCCGCGCGGTCCCCACGTAAGGCGGATCTCCCATTCAAAGAGGGGGGGGGGAGTCTTTTGTTTCCAAAACTAAGGGAGGAGGAGGAAGAGCGCGGGCGGCGGTGGGCTCAAGCCGAGGTCCATACAAAGCATTGGACTCCCTTCTCTTTGCTATTGTGTCTTTCAGGCACAGCCTGGGAGCCACGTTGGTTATTTTTACACAAAAGCAACCCCCCCCCCCCTTACCAGGGGATGGGTGGGCTCCTTGCCCCCTCGAAAGCGTTTCCATTCCGAAAACAAAACCAAAAGAGAGCAATTAGCCCAATTGGCGGCCCAGATCCTTTCCCCAAACCCTTTGCTTTTTCCACAGCTGTCTGCACCTGCTCAGGAGCACTCTCAGCTTCCCCTTTCTCCTCTTCTTGGTTTGATGGCCATTTCCAGGAACAGATGTTTCTTGGGGCAACTTTTTTTCAGACCCCTTCCACACAGCTAAATAAAATCCCACATACTCAGAGGTAGTGAGGTCTGTTGGAACTAGGAAAAAGGGTTTATATATCTGTGGAATGACCAGGGTGAGACAAAGGACTCTTGTCTGCTGGAGCTAGGTGTGAATGTTTCAACTGACCACCTGGGTTACCTCAGATAACCCAGTTCAAAGCAGATATTGTGAGATTTCCTGCCTTGATTTTCTGGGTTATATGACTGCTTGTAAGGGTCTTCACTCTCAGCTAAAACCTAAGAGCCAGGAAAGCATTATTCCTTGGTGGCGGAGGCTCTTTCTTTGGAGGCTTTTAAGCAGATGGCCATCTGTCGGGGGTGCTTTGAATGCAGTTATCCTGCTTCCTGGCAAGGGGTTGGACTGGATGGCCCAGGAGGTCTCTTCCAACTCTAGGATTCTTGAGACATTACTAACTTTCCTCCCCAATATTTAAAATATTGTATTGTCGAAGGCCTAGAGAAGACAATTATGCTGGGGAAAGTGGAAGGCAAAAGGAAGAGGGGCTGACCAAGGGCAAGATGGATGGATGGCATCCTTGAAGTGACTGGACTGACCTTGAAGGAGCTGGTGGTGGTGACAGCCGACAGGGAGCTCTGGCATGGGCTGGTCCATGAGGTCACGAAGAGTCGGAAACGACTGAACGAGATTTACCAGGGGATAATGTATTGTCGAAGGCTTTCATGGCCGGAATCACTGGGTTGTTGTAGGTTTTTTCGGGCTGTATTGCCATGGTCTAGAGGCATTCTCTCCTGACGTTTTGCCTGCATCTATGGCAAGCATCCTCAGAGGTAGTGAGGTCTGTTGGAACTAGGAAAAAGGGTTTATATATCTGTGGAATGACCAGGGTGAGACAAAGGACTCTTGTCTGCTGGAGCTAGGTGTGAATGTTTCAACTGACCACCTGGGTTACCTCAGATAACCCAGTTCAAAGCAGATATTGTGAGATTTCCTGCCTTGATTTTCTGGGTTATATGACTGCTTGTAAGGGTCTTCACTCTCAGCTAAAACCTAAGAGCCAGGAAAGCATTATTCCTTGGTGGCGGAGGCTCTTTCTTTGGAGGCTTTTAAGCAGATGGCCATCTGTCGGGGGTGCTTTGAATGCAGTTATCCTGCTTCCTGGCAAGGGGTTGGACTGGATGGCCCAGGAGGTCTCTTCCAACTCTAGGATTCTTGAGACATTACTAACTTTCCTCCCCAATATTTAAAATATTGTATTGTCGAAGGCCTAGAGAAGACAATTATGCTGGGGAAAGTGGAAGGCAAAAGGAAGAGGAGCTGACCAAGGGCAAGATGGATGGATGGCATCCTTGAAGTGACTGGACTGACCTTGAAGGAGCTGGGGGTGGTGACAGCCGACAGGGAGCTCTGGCGTGGGCTGGTCCATGAGGTCATGAAGAGTCGGTGACGACTGAACGAATGAACAACAACAACATTGTCGAAGGCTTTCATGGCCGGAATCACTGGGTTGTTGTAGGTTTTTCTGCATTGTATGGCCATGGTCTAGAGGCATTCTCTCCTGACGTTTCGCCTGCATCTATGGAAAGCATCCTCAGAGGTAGTGAGGTCTGTTGGAACTAGGAAAAAGGGTTTATATATCTGTGGAATGACCAGAGTGAGACAAAGGACTCTTGTCTGCTGGAGCTAGGTGTGAATGCTTCAACTGAACACCTTGATTAGCATATAATGGCCTGACAGAGCAAACTTTTGTTGAGATATAATTAGATGGAGAAAAACATGAAAATGAACAAAATCTGGCTACCAGTATTTAAAAACTCTAAAATTACAACAGCACAACAACATAGAGGAAACAAACAAGGACATCTAATCACCTCTCAACAAAAGTTTGCTCTAGGCACTGTCAGGCCATTATATGCGAATCAAGTTGGTCAGTTGAAACATACACCCCCATCTCCAGCAGAGAAGAGTCCTTTGTCCCACCCTGGTCATTCCACAGATATATAAACCCTTTTTCCTAGTTCCAACAGACCTCACTACCTCTGAGGATGCTTGCCATAGATGCAGGCAAAATGTCAGGAGAGAATGCCTCTAGACCATGGCCATACAGCCCGAAAAAACCTACAACCCACATTTAAAATATTCTTTATTCAGGTAATTTTTTTCCACCTCTGTATTTCTTTAGTGGAAAATGTCATTTATTTCCTGTGTATGCCTGTCTGGGTATTTTATAGCAATGAGTAGTTTTATTATAGTGCTATCCCGACATCCACTTGGTGATGTTTTCCACAACTTTGCGTGGATTTGTTAAACTGCGTATAATTGCAAACACTGTCAAAGTGGAGGACTTCTGGTCCAAGGAGACAATAGAATTGTGTTGAAGAACTCAGGGCGCACTGTCAAATTAATGGAGTTTGATGCCACAGAAACTACTAAACTTAAGGCTATGGAATCCTGGGATGTGTTGTTTGGTAAGGCACAGAAGGGCAGATAATAATAATAATAACAACAACAACAACAACAAAATCCAGCATATATATCTCATTTGCAGTTACATACTGTGTTTTTGTGTCAATAACAATAATAATAACAAAGACTCTGGCACAAGCCAGTAAAAGCGATCCCAATGATGATCGGTACACTGGGTGAAGTGCCTAAACACCTTGGCTTGCACTTAAACACAATCAGCACTGAAAAAATTACCATCTGCCATCTGCAGAAGGCCACCTTACTGGGATGTGCATGCATTATTCGCCGATACATCACACAGTCCTAGACACTTGGGAAGTGGACGACATGTGATCCAATACAACAGCTAGCAGAGTGATCTTGTCTGCTATGGACTCATCTTGTTGTGTTATAATAACAATAATAGTAATAAATCTTTGTGTTGTCAAAGGCTTTCATGGCCGGAATCCAGGGGCGGCTCAACGCATTACGCCAAGTAAGCATTTGCAGTATAGTTGATTTTGCCCAGGGGCGCTCTTGAGGCCTTGACATATGCGAGTTGTAGTTACTGGGATGTATAGTTCACCTACAATCAAAGAGCATTCTGAACTCCACCAATGATGGAATTGAACCAAATATGGCACACAGAACTCCCACGACGAACAGAAAATATATATCAGTGATTGGTTGGGGGTGGGGGGCACCAAAATACTGTTTGCTTACCATTGAAAATTACCTAGGGCCGCCTCTGCTGGAATCACTGGGCTACTGTGAGTTTTCTGGACTGTATGGCGATGTTCCAGAAGCTTTTTCTCCTGACATTTCACCCACATCTATGGCAGGCATCCTCAGAGGTTGTGAAGTCTGTTGAAAACTAGGCAAGTAAGGTTTATATATCTGTGGAATGTCCTGGGTGGGAGAAAAAACTCTTGTCTTCTTGAGGCAGGTGTGAATGTTGCAATTGGCAAATTATATTAATTATATATTTATAGGGTTGTTGTAGGGTTTTTTTAGGCTATATGGCCATGTTTTAGAGGCATTCTCTCCTGAAGTTTCACCTGCATCTATGGCAAGCATCCTCAGAGGTGAGGTTGTGAGGCTTATGTAAATTTATATCCCACTATTTTTATTATTATTATTATTATTATTATTATTATTATTATAAAACTTTATTTATATTCCACCCTATCTCTCCAGAGGGACTCTGGGCAGATTCCAGTCACAAAAAAGGCAAAATATTCAGTGCCTAAGCATTACAACTAATACACACATAGTAACAAAAATTAGACTACACAGCATATAAAAGGCAAACATTCAATACCTAAGCATAACAACTAATATACACATAGTAACGAAAATTAAACTACACAGCATATAAAAACAATTATAAATTAGCAAATTAAGATGAGATTCAACACAACCGATTATAACAAACATCAAACAGGACCCAAAGCAGCTCACAACACAATACAATACAATACAAAGCACATTTAACATAAATACAACTCAAAAATCACGCAAAGCATAATAACGTCCAGAAATAAATAAATATTAATCATTAAAAACATTTTAAACCAATTACAATTATTGTGGAGACTCACCAATTAAATAGTATATTTCGCTAAGCTCAGTGCAAATTGACCTTGCTGTCATGAGCAATTAAATTCATTCGAACAGGTAGGTCTTCAACTGGTTCTTGAAAGATAACAGGGAAGGGGCAGTTTTAATCTCAATGGGGAGGAAGTTCCAAAGGGCTGGGAACTACCAAAGAGAAGGCTAAAGACTTTGTAAAACTACTATGACTCTCACGATTCCATAGCATTTAGCCACGTCCATTCAAACTGGATTAATTCTGCAGTGTAGATGCGCTTTTAGAAAAGGGGCTATGGATAAATGAAACTGTGATCCACAGATATAGAGGTTGTACTGTATTGCCTGTCTCCACAATGTGAGAATTGGTGGACTCTTCTGCTCCTTTAGAAAACTGGACATCTGCCCTCGGTGACTTCTTTCATTGGCACCACTGCCAGGTAGACATGTCCAGGACTTTCCTGTCCTGTCTGGATTTTCTGTGTCAAGTCCTTGGAGCCTAGTTTGCCGTGTCTGACATGGTTTCATACTGACGTGACCAATCC